GCTTCTTTGGCCTTCAAGAACCCTTCTTTGTTGCTGGAAATGAGATAGTGGTGGTAGGGCTTGGTGGTGTAGAAGAAATGAAGGTTAAGGAGTTAGGGTTTTTTGAAGTTTTGAGAGTTATAACAATGGAGTTTAGGGTTGAGCCTTGGAGATGAATTTTTCTAACCTCTATGAAGAAGACCCTCAGCTGGTTTATATGGTCAAGAAAGGGGTGTAAAAGGGGGGTCAAATGGAGAGGAAAACTCTCTCCCAAAATATCCCCCGGATACAGAAAATATCTGGGGGATATTGCCCCACAGCTGTAAAGTGCACAGTGCAAGGAACACGGCCGGCCTATCACTTTTGTTGGAGGTGGTCGGCCGGCCACACCCCCTAGCCGGCCGGCTAGGGGTCAAAAGGGTCAACCATCTTTTCTGGCCGGCCAGGTATTGGGGAGGTAGGCCTTTGTGTGTACAACACAACCATGTAATTGAAATTCCAAGAAAGTGGGCCAAAGGGTTTCAACATTAGCCCGGAAGAAAGGGGTCAAAAGGGTCAGGTGACCTTACTGGCCGGCCATGAACTTTTAGGGGCCTCTCAGGTGTGTAGATCACAGATACGTGGTTGAAAGTTGGCAACGCTAGCTCTAAGGTATTCAACATTGGCCCGGAAGTGCGAAAAAACGGGCGCCGGGAGGCTCGGGAGGAGAGATAATTGTTGCTGCAACAATTGCTGGCTTCCCACCCTTCAGTGACCTTCCTCGGGATAAAACAGAGGTACCTGCCAAAAATGAGCAAAAACCGTTGCAAAACGAATGTTCCGGAGCCAAAACACGCAGTTCGGGGTCCCGGAAATGGGCTGTTAAGCACCGAAAATTGTATTCGACCTCGAAGTGGGTTTCTCAGCCCCCAGTGTCCCTCAAAATGGATGAAATAAGATGTATGCCAAAAAATTAGAGCAATAGGAGATGGTTAAGCGGTCCCGAACCGAGGCACACGGCCTGACGGCTCCGAAAACCGGGAACCGGACTCCGAAATGGGCAAAATGGCCTACGGCCACCAAATGTAGCCTACGGACATTGAGAGATGGTCTACGGGACCTCTCCCTCCCTTCAGGAAAAGAAACAGAGAAAACCGAGTCTGGTTCGCAAACCGAGACAAGGCACAGAAAAGGGTTCGGAAGTCCGGGGGCAGGGCTTACGGCCGCGACTCTGAAACTTCTGAACGAGCACATTATGCAACATCACCAAGCGCTCAATTGGCGACGTCTGAGTCTTAAGGTCGGTCAAAAATGGGGTGTCTACACCTAGTGTCAGTAAATCAGCTCTATACTGATTCATTTAAAAAATCAACTAGATATATTCATGGAAGCCAAGTGCATCAATATTAAGAGCACTCAATCCACGCAGGCACTTCCCAAAAGCCACTGCACAATGTCAATTGAGCCAGTTATGGGTGTTCAAACAGTCAGATGCAATAAATACACCTCATCAAAAAGGGTGAAGATAACAACCAAATAAAGAGAGGACGCAAAGGAAACGAAAATTATTAAACTAATAGTATATTATCCACTTAGATGTTAATACATTATTAAAAACTGTGCTGAAGTAAATTAGAATTTATCCAAGTATAGTCCACTAACATAGGTCCTGTACTGTAAAATTTATCCATAAACAACTGGAATTTTTTTTTTTTTGAATATATATATGACCACCGTTCAACACCTCAAGCAAAGCAAAATCAGGGCACAGAAGCCTAAATCAAGAATCAACATCCAACTTCCAACCTCCCAACAGGTTGATAGGTTCACAAGTCTAGATATTTCACAAGGTAACCTGAGTGACATCAATAGCAGCACTACTGGTTGACTCTCTGAACAAACTATAAAGACAAAAAAGCAAAGCTTGTAAACATGAGTAGAACACAGACCTGATAACTCCGTGTTCCTGTATCAAGCTTAGACCGACTATTGCTACCTCCATTATATCTATCGTCATCATCGTTGAAGATACTGTCACAATGTCCATGAGAAGATTGTTCAACTTGAACCGAAGAACTTACAGGTGCTGCAGACAGCTTTTGTGGTGGAGCTGAGCCCGTGTGTGAAGAGGCAGCGGGCTTCTCACACTGAGTGACATTGGTCTCCGGATTCCAGAAGTAAAGATAACCAGTTTTACAATCAACTAGCCCTTTCCAAGGCTTGGGAAGAGTGGGGTCCTCTAGAGCATAACATGGACCAGCAAAAGAGACGGTTGCAGTAGCCATCATTAAAGAGTTTCAATCTCAAGGATCAGAAGCAGGAAACAGCAATGCACATAAAATTAGATTGGTGATTTTCCCATTTTGGGTTGGGGGAATTTGGCAAGTCTAGGAAGGAAAGAAAACTTGCACTGAACCACCAATGTTAATGTTAACTTTAAAAATATTTTGCGTAAACAATATGAGGATGGTAACTAACTCAACAAACAAAATGGCTTACATACAAATCCAGCAGACATTAACTATAGTAAAGGTATCCACAGAGCAGTGAGAAGAGACTTTCAGACTACTAACATGTGAAAAATAAAATGGATTTTAGGGTGACCCAATTGGAAACCACTGCATTTTACAAGTAAATAACCAAGGTCCGCTGCCCAACACTATCCTACAACAAGCAAAATTCAGTATTGAAGCAAACTGAGATAGTTTTGTGTGTGCGCGGAAACGAGAGGCCTTGAGAAGAACTCAAGGCCCAAATTCTAGCTAGTCACCTTTCTCTGGACCACTGCATTGTTCTTCAAAGCTAAATATATTAGTAATGCACAGGTCATAGTCGAATTAAAACCCAAAACGTTATGATAAATTTAGACATATTAGTAACAACAACCAAAGAAACAACCTAACACACGCTTAGATTTAAGGGGAAATAAACCACATCAACAAATACGTATGCATAAACATAAGCATGAATTATAGCATATATTTTTCATGTTACTACAGAAAGTAACAAATTTTGAACCACAAACATATAAGCCTATTTACCACAAGTTTTAAGCTGATTATTGCATTTCTGTATATTGTTTATCATATCACATTGTTTTGGACAGAGATCAAATTGTTTTCTTGTTCATTTGGATTATATTTTCTCAAAAGCAACCCTTTAAATAAGGAAATTTGAAAGAAACAAACATATAAACCTATTTACCTTAGGATTGCTAAAAAAAAATAGCAAATTCAAAATTTTCATTGAACGATTAATTAATTTGGTTGTGTTCTAAAAAATTTGCTGTTAGACTAAAGAATTTATCTCTACAAATATCAGAACAACAAACCCCATGAATAGAAATCTGGCATATACTATCTTCCATCACAAATCAAGTTAATTCTGATGGAAGTCACTCCGATTTCACGATCGGATCCAATTCTGCCACGGTATACCATGTTAATTGTTATTCAACAAGAGTTTTCTCCATTCAAGTAAATGAAACAGAAAGTATAATTTCACTAATCCAAATCAAAATCCAAAAACCCTAAACCACCAATCACACAATACAATTTCGACTCGAAATCAAACCAATAAATAGCGAGCATATGAGAACAATACCTTAGCAGAATTGGATCCGATCACGGAATCGGAGTGCCTTCCATTATAATTATCTTGATTGTTGTAGTCCTCGTACGAGCAAACAATGTCATCGGTGGTGGCGAAATCAAACCCTTTCGAAGCAGAGTTGTTACGACCCGATGATCCGGAAGCCATGCTCAAAGTTAAAAAATGCGAGCTTTGATCGAAGCACAGAGAGAGTGAAAAGCTAGGGTTCGCAGAGACGACGATAGAGAAAAAGAAGGGGTATGTTTGGTTTGTGTTTGAGAGACGTGTTTTAGGAATAAAAAGTACGAAAAGTTGTTTGGTTTGATTTTTTTCAAAAGATGTTTTGGAAAATTATTTTGAGAGAGAGTTTTGGAAAAAGTGATTGATTTGATGTGTGTGAGAGAGAGATTTGTTTGGAAAACTTGTTCGGTTTACAAGTTTTCAAAAAAAATTTGGGAAAATTTGTTTGGTTTGATTACTTTTAAAAACTTATTTGTAGAGAAAATTTCTCAAAAAATTTTCAGAAATACAAACCAAACGAACCCAAGATGTTCGTTTTGATACATAACAAGGGGGAGCTTCTATATACACACACCTAATCCCCTCAATACACACACTTAATGATATTTAATTTTATTACAATTTTATCCCTAAGTGAAATTACCATTTTAGACACCATTGTTAATTGAAAACATCTCAATGCACACCTTGACATTGTTGCATCATGTGTGTAGGAGCACTGGTTTGGCATGCTTCTTTGAAAATTGCTTTGGCATTTCTGTAGGGTTTTCATTTTTTACAAAGGGCTGTGGCATTTCTGTGGGGAAAATATCATTGTGATGGAGGATTTGTCTTCTGAAAATCAGCAAATAAGTATTCATGTGAAGCAGAGCGAAGGAAATGTGAGTTTAATTTTTTTTTTTCGCAGCGTCGTTCGGATAACCAGAACCGAATTTTGTTATTTTGTTCGAAAATGTACTACCGAAATAATTACGTATTTTCGGAAGTTGATGTCCGAATAAAGTGATAAATTTCGAAAGTTGTTGTCCGAAAAATGTATATAAATTCGGAAGTTGTTGTCCGAAAAATGTTAACTTATACAACATTCAACTTCCGAAATTTGAAAAAAAATTCGGACAACTACTTCCGAATGAAGTAAATTTTTTTTTTCCATTTTATATTCCAAATTTGCAAACTGCATACCAAATTTACAGTTTCAAATTGCAAATTAATCTTTATAATGCCATTAAAAATTTGTAATGATATACAAAACATGTAGGAATATGTGTCAACTCAAAGAAGT